CACAGAAAAAGCTGCAGAAATTATATAAATACAGTTTTGAAAGACAAATATGTGATAGAAGAAATCAGGGGAGAAATTTAAGAAATTCTTAGAATCAAATGAGAGTAGTGATAGAGGTTTATCGCTATGAATGCCTATGTAAGAAAATCAGAAGGATTCCAAATAAACAACCTAATGATGCACCTCAAGACCCTTGAAAAAAAAGAATAAACCAACTTCAAGACCAGTAGGAGGAAGAAAATAATTAAGATTAGAGCTGAAATCAATGAAATAAATACTAAAACAACAAAACAAAGAGTTGGTTCTTTGAAAAAATAGATTGACACACGAGAAAGAAGAAATCATCATAGACATTGCAGAAATCCAGAGGATCATTAGGGACTGTTTTTTAATTTACACTCTAAAAAATTGGAAAACCTAGAAGAAATGGGTACATTTCTAAATACATATGAGGTGCCAAAATTGAGTAAATAAGAGATATAAAACCTAAACAGACCAATAAGCAGCAATGAAATAGAAGCAGTATAAGAAAGCCTTACAATAAAGAAAAGCCCAGGACCAGGTGGTATTTTATTAGCTGTATTTTAACAGACCTTTAAAAGAGAACTAATGCCAATGTTCCTCAAATTATTCCATGAAATGGAAAGGTATGGAACACTTCTAAACTCATTCTATGTAGCCAGTATCACTGTGATACACCAGATAAGGACACATCAAGAAAAGTCCAGACAAATATCCCTAATGAAATTAAATGAAAAAAATCCTTAAAAAAACATTAGCAAACCACATTTAACATATTAAGATTGTACATCATGGCCAAGTTGGTTTTATTCCAAGGAAGCAAGTATGGTTTAACATATGCAAATCAATAATGTAATTCACCACATAAATAGAATTAATGACAAAAATCACATAGTCATTTCTCCTTATAAAAGGAGAAAGCCTTTGATAAAATTCATTATATATTCATGATAAAAATACTGAAAAAACTAGAAATAGAAGGAACTTAACTCAGCATATATGTAGTCTCATAAAGGCTATCTATGAAAAACCCAAGGCCATCATCATAATGAATGTGGAAAAACTGAAAGCATTTCCTTTAAAATAATTTTTAAAAAGACAAGAATGTGCATTGTACACCCTTCCTGTTGTACTAGGAACTCTAGCTAGAGCAATTAGGCAAGAGAAGGAAATAAAAGGGATTTAAACAGGAAAGAAAGAAGCCAAATTATCACTGTTTGCTCGTGATATGACCTTGTGTTTAGAAATCCATAAAACTCCACCAGAGGACTAGTAGAGCTAATAAACAAATTTAATAAAAACCAGGTTAAAAACTCAACATACAAAAAATCAATAGCTTTCCTTTATACCAGTAATGAATCTGCTAAGAAAGAAATCAGGAAAACGGTTCCATTCACAATAGCCTCAAAAAAATTAAAAATGAAAATAAACCCAATAACCACCACCTAGGAATAAATAAAACTAAGAAGATAAATGACTTCTAAAATGAAAACTCTAGGATGCTGAAGAAAGAAATCAAAAAGACCTTAGAAAATGGAAATAATGCCCATGTTCCTGGATAGGCAAAATTAATGTTGTAAAATGGTCATATTAGCAAAAGCAGTATACAGATTAAATACAGTCCCCATCAAAGTACCCATGACATTCTTCAAATAACTAGAAAAAACAGTCCTAAAATTCATTTGGTGGGGAAAAAGACTCAAAATAGCCACAGTATTTCTAAGACAAAAAAATGCAATGTAGGAGGCATCATAATACCTGACTTCAAATTATACTACAGAGCTACAGTAACAAAACCTGCAGACACATAGACCAATGGACCAAAACAGAAGATACAGAGAAACCCAAACAGAAACAGTCATCTGATCCTTAACAAAGGTGCCCAAAGCACACACTGGAGAAAAGACATCCATTTAATCAAATGGTGCTGGAAAACTGGGTTGTCCCTATGGAGAGGAATGAGAGTAGATCCTTCTTCTTCACCCTGCACAAAAGTCAACTCAAATTGGCTCAAAGACCTAGGAATTAGAAACTCTGCACCTCCTGGAATAAAATGTAAGGTCAATAATTGAACCTGTAGACACAGGGAATGACTTTCTCAATAGCACCCCTAAAGCTCAGGAAATAATACCAAGAATTAATAAATGGGATAGTACCAAATTTAAAAGTTTCTGCACAGCAAAAGAAACAATTAAGAACGTGAGGAGTGAACCTACAGAATTGAAAAAAAATCTTTGCTAACTACTCTTCTGACAGAGGATTAGTATCCAGAATATGTGAAGATCACACATACACACACACACACATAAAAAAAAACAAATAATCTTATGAATAGTCAAATGAGTTAAATAGAAATTTCTCAAAATAATACAAATGGTCAACAAATACATGAAAAAAGTTCCTAATATTTTTAGCAATTACGGAAATGCAAATCAAAACTACAATGAGATTTCATCTCACATCAATCAGAATGGCAGCCATCAAGAATATAAACAATAATAAATGCGGGAGAAGATGTAGAGAAAAATAAACATTTTATGCTGTTGGTGGAATTGTATATTAGTGCAACCATTATGGAAATCAGTGTGGAGTTTCCTCAGTAGACTAGTAATTGAACTACCATAAAGCATAGATACACCACTCTGTGGTATTTATCCTAAAAGTATTAAAGTCCCCATACCATAGTGATGCATGCATACCCATGTTTATTGTAGCACAATTCACAATAGTCAAATTATGGAACCAGCATAGATGCCCATAAATGAATGGGTAAACAAAACGTGGTGTATATATATACACAATAGAGTTTTATTCAGCCATAATCAAGAGTGAATTTATGTCATTTGCAGGAAACTGGATGGAACTTGAGAGAATTATGTTAAATGAGATAAACCATATTCAGAAAATCAAAGGTGGTATGTTTTCTCTTGTTTGTGGAAGCTAGGGAGGATAAAGGAAAAGAAAGATATAGGGTGGATCTCATGAAAATGGAAGGGATACCAGTAGAGTAGAGGAAAAGAACCAGGAGGAGGGAAAGAAGAAATACTGGGGAATGATATTGGCCAAATTATATTGTTATATCATTTATATTGTGTGCATGTAAGAGTATGTAATGACAAATCTCATGAATTGTTGAAGTTCTTCAACAATTAAAGAAAATGTAAGACAACATTTTTTTTTTATGGTGCCCTTCTTTGCACATGAAGGAATGTGTTTTGTAAAACAATTAGGTGTTTCTTTCTTGGGAGATAGTTAACCTATCTAGTTACAGAACTTGGTGAGTTTGGAGGTAAGTATATACTCATGAAGCCAAGGCCACAATCCACAATGCAAGCTCTCTATCATCCCCCAAATGCCACTTTTTTTCATTATTACTTTTGTTTTTAAATATGCAATATTGTATTGTTAACTATAAGCACTGTAAGCTCATTTGATCTCTATGACTCTTTCCTCTTATGTAACAAAATCTTTGCTTCCTTTGCTACCTTCTTATTTACCCTCCTACTAACTTCTGACAGCCCCCATTCTGCTCTCTGCTTCTATTGGCTTAATATTTTAGGTTCATCTTACAAATATCATCATGTTGTGTGTGTCCTTGTGTTTCTCACTTATTTCCCTTAACATAATGTCCTTTGGGTTTATCCATGCTGTTGTGGAAATGGCATGATTTTCTTCTTTTTTAGACTGAATAATACTGCTGAATGTGCATATACCACATTTTCTTTGTTAATCTGTTGACAGATACTTAGGTTGTTTCCAGATCTTGACTATTGTGGAACTGCAAATGACATAGGATTGCAGATACTTTTTTAAGATACTAATTCCAATACCTTCATATATGTACCCAAAAGTGGCATTGTGGGCTCAATGGTATTTCTATTTTTAATTTTTTAATGTTTATTTTTTAGTTGTAGTTGAACATAATATGTTTGTTTGTTTGTTTGTTTGTTTTTATGTGGTGCTAAGGATCAAACCCAGGGCCTCGCTTGTGCTAGATGAGAGCTCTACTGCTTAGCCACAACTCCAACCCTCTATTTTTAATTTTTTAGGAATCCTTCATTCTTGTTTTCTTCAATGATTATACTAGTACACATTCCCACCAGTGGTGTAAAGGATACCCTGTTCTGTACACCTTTACATCATTTAATCATGATGATGATGAGGAGGAGGAGGAGGAGGAGGAGTGTGTTTGTTATCAGGTATCAAACTCAGGGACTCTTGAATACCACATTAGCACTTTATCACTGAACTACATACCCACCCCTTTTTATTTTGTTTGGAGACAGGGTCTTACTAAGTTACCAAGTTTGGCCTTGAACTTTCAATCTTCTTTTCCCAGCCTCCTGAGTAACTGGGGTTATAGTCATGTACCACCATATCCAACTCATTTGTTGTTTTTCCTTGTTTTAAAAATAGCATTCTAACAGGTGTGAGGTAACATTTCATTTTATTTCTTTATGACTAATGATGTTGAGCACCTTTTTATATAAACGTTGGCCATTTGAACATTATCTTTGGAGAAATACCCGTTCAGCTCCTTTGCCCATGTTTTAATTGAGTTCTCTCTTTCACTGCAGAGTTCCTTATAAAGTTTGAATATTAGCTGGTTTGCTCAAACCTTACTCTTTTTCTTATTGGAGTATTATACATAGTAGATGGATTCATTTTGACAAAATCATACGTGGATGAAATTAATTTCAGTATCCCTTCCCACCCTTTTACTTCCCTCTTCCCTCCCCTAATTCTCCTTCCTCTACTCTACTGATCTTTCACACGTTTATTTTTTGAATGGTTCTTTGTACTTACAAATAAAGGTGAAATTATCTCACAAATAACTCATAGTTGCTGTTAGTACCTTGGTCAGGGAAGGGTTGCTTAGATCTTATGTTACCAAAAATAAATGTTAGCTGAGCACCTGCTAGATGTGATGCCAATGCTGTCCAGATATGACCACTAACATTTTTTTTTTAATTTGGCAGGTATGTTATTCCATCTTTGCAGAAGCTCGATGCTGGATTTTACCGCTGTGTGGTGCGAAACCGGATGGGTGCGCTATTACAAAGAAAATCAGAAGTTCAGGTTGCATGTATGTATTCAGTAGAGGGACCTGTGATGTTAACAAGACAGAGCAGCTGTGGGGAGCAAATCAAAATCATGTTTAGCCTTTGTAGGGACTAAGTTTATTGTTGGTTCAAGTCAAATAGAATGATTGTTGAAATTGGTGAGAGAGGAGTGAATGCTAGTGTGGATGGCCAGGTGAGGGACTAATGAGGCAGATGTCATGTTTTCCAATGGAAAAGGTTAAGGACCTCCATAAGGCACTGGGGAGGGTGCAATAGGGACCTCCGAAAGGCACTGGGGGGTGCAAAAAGGAATAAAATGACTTTTGTTTGATGAATCAGTTAGATGCTCTTATCTTATATTATACAGAATTCAGTACTGATACTGTACATGTGCAGTTCTGTTTTTAAATCACTAGGCAGGCATAAGTTTTTTTGACATGTGATGATGAAGTCATTCAGCTAAATCTGTGTACAGAATAATTCATAATTTTTATTCAATAGGATATTTGAAAATATAATAAATAGAGTACAGATCAATACCCAAACCATATTTGAGTAAGTTAAGAGCCTGGAATTTATTATAATATATTAAATTCTATTTTATACAATTGAGTATGTACTTCTCCTTGGTTAATTATTTATATCCTTATTTCTGCCCTTCATCTATAGCTCTTAGATGTTTTCTTAACTTCCTTTTCTCCTTCCCTTTGATAACAAATTTCTCTTTACTTTAAAGTAACCATGGATATTTTCTTAATCTGATTCATTGGTTTGTTTTATCTTTCCCTCAAATATTATACAATGTTACATCAAAAATAATTTTTTAAAAAAAGGTAAAAATCTTACTGCAAAAAATATAATAATAATTGAATGAGAAAGCCATAGATAATACAGCTTTCTTAGGGAAAATTCCAAGTTAATATACATTTTAAAATGTAGTGTTTTGCCATATCTATGTTTGTACACATTAATCTGTATCTAATCATAATATGGGTATTTTTCAAAAATTTCAAGGTACCATTTTAAAAATTAGCCATTTATATCTACATTTGAATTGCTGTTTTTTTCCCGTTGACCTCATTTTTATGTTTTTAACCATTAGAACAAGAGTGACCCAAATTAAGTCAACAGTGAATAGGTAAGAAAACTCCTTATAAACTCCACACTGGTTAGAAAATATTGCTCCCAAAATACCTGCTAGGGAGGCAGTCACCCCAGAAATGAATAGGAGGAGAAACCAAGTGGAGCAAGAACTGGTGCTGGGGAGAACAGGCCTGAAAGATTTGGTAGCTGGGAGAGGTCCAGAAGCATTTTTTCACAGTTCCAACAGCTTTCTGACAACAGCTTCCTGTACCTCTAGGATACTTTGCAGCAGTTTATTTTAGTGTTGCAAGCAGTTGCAATCATCCTCTTTGTTGTTACAGTAAGATAAAGGAGGTGTGACTCTGCGGAGTAGTAAGCTTCTTGGCTACTTTGGAGGTGTGGGGCTTTGCCTCTTGCTTCTTTCCAGCCAGATCTGTGCTTGACAGTGCTGCACTTCAGCCTCGCCAGTCTTATTGTTAAGACTAGCATCATTGCCAACTTTACTGTAAAATATAGTTATTTCCATTTCCAACCTCTACTCTCCCCACAAATTGTTTTCTAGACTTAAAAAATCTAATTTCTCTCTGCAGATATGGGAAATTTCATGAATTCAGACCAGAGGAAGACTGTTTCACAAGGACATGCAGCAGTTCTAAACTTACTGCCCATCACCAGCTGCCCCAGACCTCAAGTGACCTGGTTTAGAGAAGGGCACAAGATTATTCCAAGCAACAGAATGTAAGTTTCTTTAAACATTAAAGCTTCAGATACAATTGATTATGCTCACTGGCACCATTTACATATTAAGTGAACCAATTAAGGTTACCAGTGATTTGAAAAGAATAGCCTTGTCTAGGAGTCCTAACTCAGTCCTTAATAAATAGCTATTTTGAGACTGGTTTGGTCATTTTTAAACAGCTTAAGCAGTGCCCATGTAATATTATTCTTCAGTATGTTGCACACCCGGAACCTAAAGAATTCCTGCCCACTCTTTGTAGCCCATTCTTTCTGTTCTTGGATGGAGTTTAAGGTGTCATGGTCATTCTTGAATTGTATCTAGCTTCTAGTTCTGGTTTAACCAGCCTGGTATTTACTTGTACAGCTGTGGGATTTCCCTCCTCTTTTTATTGAGCCATGTTTGATACTACTTTCTCCGACGATAAAACAGTAATTACTGCTTATTTCTCTTTATCCTTTTATCCTACCATGACAGTTTTATTTCCTTTTGTCTAATTAGTGGCTCGCCCCATCTATTGCAGAATAGTCGTTTTGTGATTAGTTAAGCATTATTTCAAGGTGTTCTTGCCTATCCCACATTCAAGATATTTATCTAATGCCAGACAGGTTTTCTTCATTTGGAGATTTAAGTGATTAAAACGAACATTTGATATATATTTCATAACTAGGCATTTTGCAATCTAAAGACAATATTCCAAATATAAAGGTTTCAAGGATGATAATTTCCAAGAGGATCATGAAATGCTGTAAGCTTGGAGTAAAAGTCAAATATTTATACTGCCAATTGGTTGCATTTACATAAAAATTCATGATGGGAAGAAGCTTTTGTGTGTTTTGTTTTTCAAAAAGAACATTTCTAAGACAATTTGTTGAAAAGATTTCAATTGAAATTATGAAAGTAACTGTGGCATAAACCTTCTTTCTCCCCTATCGGAGTACCCATGGAATCTCTTCTTTAAGCCCGATTTTGTCATTTGTCCACCTAGGTATTGGAACACTTTTTGAATCTAGAATATCCATAAGCTTATTTAGCAAATGTTTCTATTTTGGTTATTGAAACAGAAAAAAAAACATGAAATATATGTAAAAGCCATATTTTTAAATTCTAAAACTATGAATGATCTTAGAAAATGGAATAACTGCTATCTCTTTTGTTTTTGTTTTGAGAAAAGTGACTTAGATATCCACCTTTATATTGATTCCAATCATTGCAGATGCCTTTCGAGTTTGGGTGAAACAAAAAAAATGAAGGATCAATATCTCATTGCCTTAGGAAATTGTTAGACTGAGCAAATGGCAGCTCAGAGTTTTATATGAATGTTCTGGAAGCTTCCAGTGTTGAACACAGTATGACAGGTGAAAGAGGAATAATTGCTAGGGGAAAATTGGTACCAGGGATGGGGAGGTAGATTGAATCAAGCTTCTTCTTAATTATTATCAATTACAGTAAAATATATGGTGGAAGGGTTATTTTAACTTGATAGCAAATAAGCATGTATTAATTTATTAACTTGTGGTTTAGCTTTATTTATAAGATAATGTTTATTCAAGAAGTATGAAAGGGTACACAATAAAATAACACTTAATTTCATGAGCTTTTTTAAGTTTGCAGATTCGTGCTAAAGAGTGTTTAATTCCTAATGAGCTAATAAAGTAAAAATACTGTTAGGGCTTTAGTTTAGTGTCCCATCAAACAAATGGTCTGCTTACAATTGTGATGCTACTGATAAACATCCAATCTCAGTGAAACAATGTGCTGGTATACCTCTTTTAAAAGAGATGAAATGAGACTGATTATGGATATTTACACTTCTGCAAGGCCTTTTAGCTTCATATTTTCCACCTCATAATCACTCCACATTTATTAAGTACCTGCTATGCAAGATATCATAAATCAGTAAATGCATGGCTTTCTTCACAAATTTATATATCATTTATATATGCTTTCTACTTCTAAAAATTCCACTTTTGACTAAAGATGGAAAGACATTCCTGCATTGCTCCTGCCCAGATGGTTGGCAGGCAAAAGTCAGATGGCATCAGATGTACATCATCAGAGGAGCTTTTCCAACCTGGAACATTTGGCTGGAAGCCTCATACACATTGAAACATTGCATCTGCCTTAAATCTCTTCAGTCAGTTTCCTGACCCAACAGGAGTGAGGGAACTTTGTCTAGGCAGAGAAACCTCTTTACCCCTCCCACTATTTGTTAACATTATCTCATGTTGAGCTTTTAGGCTTAGACGTAAATTATTATTATTTTTTTCATTTTGAAGATAAACAGTAAGTCTTGTTTCCCAAGTTGAAAAATTAGTTAAATAGCCTATTAATCTTGGTGGCTATTATTTGTTGAGGACCTCTTGAAACTTATCTTCTCTAATCCTCACAATTGGCTTCTGAGGCAAGTATAATTAGTTCTACTTACAACCTTCAGAACTGCAAATTAGCGCTGCAGACTTACCTAAGGGCACAGCTGATGAGCTAAAATTCCAACCCAGGTCTACACATCATTCTCTCTTCTGTATCAGGCTAATTCTTCTTTTCACTTTACTCGCTGAACTTTCTTCATACTCTTGGTCATTTTTTCCATATATTGTTTGTCTTTTTCCTCATTCATGTAGAAGACTGGCTTTCAATTTGAATCAAAGTTTCACTTCTGACTAACATGGAAAGGCATTTCTCTTTTGCTCCTGCCCAGATGGTTGGCAGGCAAAAATCTGATGGCATCAGATGTATTCTGCACCACCAGAGGTGCCTTGAAAATCTAGAATATTTAGCCCAAAGTGCATTGTACACATGGGAACATTGATCTTCTTATATAGGTTATATTTAGATTAACCTAGATTTGTGTAGAGGTATCAGTTATTGCTATATTTCAAAACTAGAATCTAATAAGATTTCCTTCTGGGAAAGGGAAGCTTAAGATTTCTGGCCTGATCAACTGATAGGGTAGAATTAACTTTTCCTGATATGGGGAGACATTTTGGGGAGAAGCAAGTTTTGTAAATATGTGGGTGGGATTTGATGGTGGTGTCTGCAGTTTCTTTTGGACATGTGAAATTTGAGGTGTATATTTGCGTAGCCAAAAGGAACCAATGATTAGATAGTTGTATGTATCAGACCCAAGGTTAGCAAAGATATCTAGGTTAAATTTGGCATGTTAATGATATTTAAAGCTTTTTACAAACCTATGAAACATACGAGCCAGCAGGTCCAAGGGCTCTCATTGCATCAGTCTTGTCTGAAAGTCACAGAGGTTGACTTTGGTTGTCTTTTGAAAAAAAGACTTTTTTTATTTTTTGGAGTATAGGGAATTATAGAACTGAATAATAGGAGAGGGCTCAGCAGTTACCAGGGTTGCTCTGTGGTCCAGGGAGCTAATAAATAATGTAATAGTCTCCCAAAGACATCAAGGGCCTAATTCTGGGAACATGTGAACATGATAGGTTACATGGCAGAGGGGAATTATAATTGAAGAAGAACTGATACAGATGGGAAGAAGGGACAAAAGGAAAAAGGCAATCTTCCAACTAGTGCAGTCAAGATTTAGTATGTCGGGGCTGGGGATGTGGCTCAAGCAGTAGCGCGCTCGCCTGGCATGCACGGGCGCTGGATTCAATCCTCAGCACCACATAAAAATAAAATAAAGATGTTGTGTCCACCGAAAGCTAAAAAATAAATATTAAAAAAAATATTTAGTATGTCTACCCTATAACAGGTGCATGCTCATATGCTGGCACCTCTCTGTCTCAGCATCTTGCCCATAGGCTTTAACCCTGAGAGTCACATTCCAATGTTTGTTACCTATATATTCCAGGACAGAGGTTTCATTCTCCCAAGCTTCCTCTGCTACCTCTGGGAGGAGAAAGGCTAAGCATTTCTTTTGTAGTGTAGATAGGAGAGGTAGTAACTAGATCCTCATGCCCACTTTGTAGCAGTTCTCTTTTGAATACTTGGGCTCTTACAACATCATTGTCCTAATAGTATGGTTTCCATCAAAACTTTGAGACAAGAAAAGAAACGTTTTATGTTTTTGTTTTTTTAACATTCTGGATATTCTGCATTGAAATAACTATTTGAATCTGTAGGTTCTGTCTATTCAAATAATTTTTGTTTTTTTTTTGTCCCATCCAACTCCCATGGGTACAGGGGATTGAACCCAGGGCATTCTACATCTATATCCTTGGTCCTTTTTATTTTTTATTTGAAACAGAGTCCTGCTAAGTTGCTGAAGCTGGCCTCAATCTGGTGATACTCCTGCCTCAGCCTCCTGAGTGTGTGACACTGCACCTGGCCCAGATATTTTTCTAATCAGACCCAGTCCCTGACCCTGGGTGTTGACCCTCTGAAACATCTTTGTTTCTTAAACTATATTTCGCCTGGTGGTATGTGTAGCATACCACTAGGGTAGTAGAATGAATAAAGGATGTGAAAAAAGTCAGATAAGGTCTGTAAACAGAAGGAGGAAAAAGATAAGAATAACAAACATCAAGAATAGAGGCTATTGGATCATAAAAATATCCTGGAAAAGCAAATGATATTTTGGAAGAATTGAGAATAAGTTATATTCAGAATTTTGAATAGGTAATTATGGGTTTTATTTATATGATAAGATGAAAAATGCATGTTTATTTATGATTTATTGAAACCAAATAGCTAATTTTCTATCTTTGCATATCAAAGATGAGAATAGCTTTTTTAAAATAAGTATAGTCTTATTTTAAAATAAAATTCTTCTGTGTGTGCTTTGGTTTATATTTTCTGTTTCCTTCTATTTCTCAGACTACAAAATGTGAATCTTGATGCCATGTAATGCTTCTCTTACCTCTGGGAGGGAATTTATGTTGGCAGTTATCAGATTAGGACACCAAAACTAGGTCTGAGCAATGCCATTCTTTTGCTTAATTGCAGATTTTTGTGTTTAAATTGCATCCTGTAGTCTACCTGACAGGAATCTGAAAGCATAAGTGTTTTTGCATGTGTTTTACTGGAATTGTGA